AAATCTCTATTACTTTTAGTGGGGGAGTCTCCACCCCACTCTTTCTGTTTAGCTCCCAAATAAAGACTTGGTGTTTTATTTACAAGCTGCTGGCATGGCACTGAGCAGGTTCTGAACTGTTCTAACCTGGCTAGGAAAGTAATAACCAGATAAATGCCCAATCACTTGCCAGCTGAGTCTTGCTCAGGTTCTCTTGCCACGTGTTTCTGGTTCATCCTGCCTCGTGGTGACATGTCACCAGTCTCTCCTTCCTCTTGTGGTCCCTATCTGAGCCCCCCACTCGATCTCAAGGTCACCTTCCTCTCTCTCCTTAGTCACAGGCTCTAACTAGCCTTTTATTAGCCAATCAGGGATATTGGGGAACATTCTTACAGAACACAGTTTAATACAGTACCCCAAGATCAGGTTACAGTCTGGACTGGGGCCCAGGACTCAGCTTCTGAATACACAGCACACAAGACTGACCCCAATATGTTTGTGTATCTTTAAAGAGATGGCTCAGCAGTTAAAAGCACTGGCTGCTTTTCCAGAGGACCCAGGTCTACTCCCAGCATAATATGTATTATTAGTATATTATGCCATATGCTAAATTTCTTAGAGTGCATATGGTAGACATGAACGGGATGGAAAGGTTGTTACTGCTTTGTTTCATTGTGTTCCAAAACAGGGTTTCTATGTAGTCCCGAGTGTCATGGAACTCACAGAATCTGCCTGCCCCTGCCTCCTGGGTGCTGGGATCAAATGACTCACCACACGAAGCCTTCATCATCTTTTTTCCTTCCTTAACCCTTGGGCCAGTGCTAGCAATGTCTCCCACACAGTGGTCCTGCGTCCTCTCAAAGCTGGCTACTTCAACTTCACTTCTGCCACGATTACTTACCTGGCTCAGGAAGATGGGCCTGTTGTGGTAAGTTGTCCAAACCTTGAGCCAAGTGAGGCTCCAGTTTCCTTAAGATCTCTCTAGTTTCTTTTCAAAATGTCTGGGTTGTTTTTGTATGTGATTGTGTGTGAGCATGCATGTTTGTTGGATGCCCATAGAAGCCAGTAGGGATCTGATCCCTGGCTGTCTCTCCTTAAAAACTCTTGCAGAAAACGCCCACAGCAGTTGCTAAGGCAGGTTGACTATACACCTGGAGTGAGCCTAAGGAAGTCTAGTTCCAATAGTAGAATTCCAGAACCGGTGGGAGGCCATAGCTTCTCTTCCCTTCTTCCCTTGCTCTCCCTTTAGTCTGGAATGTGCCTGTGACAGTCCCTTGCCTCTGCCTTACCAGTGCCGAGGTTACAAGTGTGACCTCATCCAGCTGTGACCACACCATCAGTGCACTCAGCTTTATTTTTAATTAATTAACTATTGAATATTTATTTATTTATCTATTTATTTATTTTGAGACAGGGTCTCTCTGTGTGTAGCCCTGGCTGTCCTAGAACTTGCCTTGTAGACTAGGCTGGCCTCAAACTCACAGAGATCCGCCAGCCTCTGCCTCCCAAGTGTTGGGACTAAAGGTGTACATCACTATGACCAGCTGAATTTTTTTTTTTTTTTTTTTTTTTTAAGCTTAGATTGAGACAGATTCTTCTATAGTACATGCTGGCCTTTCTCAAACTCCCAATATATGAATGAGGCTGGCCTTGAACTCCTGATCTTCCTGCCTCAGTCATCCAAGTGATTACAAGTGTGAGCCACTATGCCTAGCAGTACCTGGTACTCAGGTTAACAGACACAAAAGTAAAAGGCTCACTCATCCACCTGAGAATAGAGTTGTTTGTAATGAGTTCCAAACTCTTGGCCCCTCTTTAAAGCAGAGGAATGTGGAGTGGCCCCAGCCTCCTCTACATTTGGGTGGGGCTTTTAACATTCTGGATGCTTCTTAGTACTTCAGCTGAGCCTTGGTCAGCCCTGTGGAGTAGAAAGGGTGTTTTCTGTGAGGAATAAGTAAATGCTGGCGGAGGAGTTCTGCGATTAGCTGTGTGGCTGTCCCGAGCTGTTTAATAGGTGCCCACTGTGCGGCGAGCCCCAGTGTGTGAGATCTCAGCTCTCCCGCCTCCTGATCTACTCTTTTTTACAAAATGCTAAAGAGAATCATCTAATTTTTTAAATTTTTATTCATTTTTGGTTTTTTTTAAGATAGAGTGTCTCTGTGTAGCTCTGGCCATCCTAGAACTCACTCTGTAAGTCAGGCTGACCTCTAATTTAGAGGTCTGTCTGTCTCTGCCTCTCATATGCAGAGGCGTTTGTCACCATGCTTCACCTATCTAATTTAAAAGCTTTTCTTAATTTTTTTAAAAAATTTATTTGTGTCTATGGGAGCTTTGCATGCTTGTATGTGTGTGTACTACATGTGTGCCTAGTGCCTGAAGAGGTCAGAAGGGATTGGATTCCCTGGAACTGGAGTTAGGGGTGGTGGGGAGCCATCTCTCTGTCCCTCAACAGCTTTTGCTTTTTTGTTTTCTTTTCCCAATACTGATAATAAAGTCCAGGCCTCGTGTGTGCTGTGCAGAAACTCTGCCACTTGAGCTGCAGCTCTGTCCTCTAAACACGCTTGCCTGTGTGTGTGTGCGCCAACTATGTCTGATGCTTAGACATGGAACACCCTGTTCTCGGATGAAGTGACTTTGAAGCTTCCCTTAACACCTTTGTTTTTCTTCTCCAGATTGGCTCCACCAGCGCCCCTGGACAGGGAGGAATCCTGGCTCAGCGGGAGTTTGACAGGAGATTCTCCCCCCATTTTGTAAGCACTTCTAGTACTGTCTCCTCCTCCCCTGGGTGAGAACTCACTTAGTTCTGGAAGCTCCTTAGAACATTGATGGGTTTGTTCTCTTCCCCCCCCTTAAGATTTATTTATTTTTTATTTATGTGAGTACACTGTAACTGTCTTCAGACACACCAGAAGAGGGCATCAGATTCCATTACAGATAGTTGTAAGCCACCGTGTGGTTGCTGGGAATTGAACTCAGGACCTCTGGAAGAGGAGTCAGTGCTCTTAACCACTGAGCCATCTCTCCAGCTCTCTTGTTCTGTTTTTTCCTTTCCTTTTCCTTTTTGCTTTCATGTGAGAGAGGCAGGCAGGCAGGCAGACAAAGACTCATCGTTTTAGATAGATTTCTGATAAAATTGTGCCCAAATTTTTGTCAGTGAGCTCATAATAGCCAGTACCAAAGACCTGGACTTTCCCTCTGCTCAGCCTTTAGAAGAGAGAGGCCTGACTTAGAGTCTGTGTCACTTGGAGGCCCTAATAGATTGATTCAGTGAGGGTCACCAAGTTTTGGGATAGTTGAGTGTTACACACCACTGTGCCCAGCTGGAGCTTGAAGAGAATTTTTCAGAGCTGACTAAACACTGAATGAGGAAATATATTTCATCTAGACCTCCAAATAAGACACAGTCTGTCCCCATCAGATGACCTGGGGGCTGAGGATGTAGCTCGGTTGCTAGAGTGTTTGCCGCACGTGCTCAGGGCCCTCGGTTGTATCCCAGCACTGCTTGAGAATTGAAGGCAGGGTCACGAGCTCATCGTCAACCATTTAGTCAGTTTGCAGCCGGCTTGGCTACAGAGATGCAGGAGCAACAACATTCCCCTGATGGCATAAGGGACTCAGTGAGGCGTTGAAGGGGCAGCGCAGTGGTCAGTCAGGCCTTACACTGTGCCCTGGTGGAGCTGTAGTCAGCACCACCTGTCCAGTCTCTGAGTCCAGAGAGGATTTAGCCAGGCAAAGAGAAGCCGAGGAAGGATGGACTTTGAGAGCAGCTCAGATTGACTCATGGCCTAGTGTGAGCCAGGAATGACAAGTGTTTGACTAGGCTGGAAGGCAAGCAAGGTGAAGTGTGAAGGAGATAGCCCAAGGTCTCAGGAGGCGTGCCTGGTAGGGCCATCCCCCTTCTCAAACACTGTCTAGAATTTGGGTGAGGTGAGGCTTTGGCCGCACAGCTTGAAAAGGAGACTAGTTGTAGAGAGCCATTTTGTCTGAGGGGAGAGGCTGGCAAAGTCCTCCTTACATTCCAGGCCCTGCCGTTCCCTTCCCATCGGACCATTCCCTCCTTCCTTTTCTCTCCCACATCTGTACTTAGACTCCTAAGCAAACCCTTGTTTCCCTCCACAGCTGGACTGGGCAGCCTTTGGGGTCATGACCTTGCCCTCCATAGGCATCCCTCTGCTCCTGTGGTATTCCAGCAAGAGGAAATATGACACTCCCAAACCCAAGAAGAACTGAATGCAGTTTCCTCGGCCCTTCTCTCCAAGAAACCAGCTGTTTTCTAGACTCCAGAGGGTGTCAAATGTGTTTCTTGGCCCTTGGCCCGAGCCTATTTAGTCCTGAATCTTACCCGGAACTCAAGGCAGGCCTGGAGGTCTGAGAAGGCCTCCCTGCTGTCACTGAAGCCATACAGACAGGACCACCTTTAGCCACAGCTTCGGGGCTTGAGGGTCCCACCAGGGTGCTGTTGGTATATTATTAGCAACGTGAACTCTTGGGGTCCAGGAGGGGCCTTTGGACACTGTCTGACACCCCCATCCCCTGGCAGCTCCTCTCAAGAGGGTAGAAGATTATGGGGGCTACACAGGCTCTGCCTGGATTAGGGGTACTTACCAAATGGATTTTCTAATAAAAACAAATGCCATACCCATGTGTTTGTCTTGTGTGAACAGACAGGCCATTTTTGAAGCCCAGGTCTTGAAGCTCCAGCTCCAGGGCTAGCCGGTTGGCTTTCTTGGCCTTGGAGTGTGGTCCATTCCCAGAGATGTGCCTGATTCCTTCTGAACCCCTGTGGTCATCTTTCTGTTTTCACATCCATTACCACAGAGTCCCATAAGTCTTCCTCGATGGCTCTCCACAGCTGGAGATGATCCTGATATATTTACTGGCCTTTCTAGAAAATGGTTCTTAGGGCCTGTTTCAAACCCACTAGTCTTAAGTCAGTGTTGTTGTTTTTTTTTTTTTTTTTTTTTGGGTTTTCGGGACAGGGTTTCTCTGTGTAGCCCTGGCTGTCCTGAAACTCACTCTGTAGACCAGGCTGGCCTCAAACTCAGAAATCCGCCTGCCTCTGCCTCCCAAGTGCTGGGATTAAAAGCGTGCGCCACCACCGCCCGGCAAGTCAGTGGTTCTCAACCTGGGGATTAAAGGACCCTTTCACAGCGGTCAAATATCACATATTTACATTATAATTCATAATGGGCAAAATTGCAGTTATGAAGTAGCAATGAAAAATAACCTTATGGTTGGGGGTCACCACTAAAGAACTATTAAAGAACTGTATTAAGGGTCTCAGCATCAGGAAGGCTGAGAACCACTGGTCTTAAGTGGTGGTTTTTAGGGACGGAAGATATGGTTCAGTGGTTAAGAGCACTAGCTGTTCTGTTGGATTCGGGTTCTATGCCCAGCATCCACATGGTGGTTCACAACCTCTAACTCCAGTTCCAAGGGATCCAGTGCTCTCTGCTGGACTCTGCTGGCTCCAGGTGCTTGACTGATACACAGACATACATGCAGGGAAAAAACTCATACTTCAGTTTTATAAAACTAAATGGCATCTCTTTGGGGCTAGAGAGACGGCTCAACAGCGAAAGCACACACTGCTCTTGCAGAGGACCCAAATTCAGAAACAAGCATCTATGTCAGGTGGCCTTTAACTCAAGCGATAGTGGATCCAACACCCTTTTATGACCTCTGCAGACACCTGCACATACACCTATAAATAAAAGTTAGTAAAGGAAATGGTATCTGTTGAGTTTGAATTTATTTTTTGTTTTGAGATGGGGTCTCCTAATTGCATAGCTCTGGCTGTCTTGAAACTACCTTTCTTGGACCAGGCTGGCCTCAGACTCACAGAGATCTACCTGTCTCTGCCTCTTGAGTGCTGAGATTAAAGGCCTGAGCCAACATTTTATTTTTAGGCCAGGAAGAAGTGCTGGGTTTCCTGCTGCATAGGATCATCTAGTAACCAGTGGGAAAAGCAGCTTTGGCTTTTACAGAGTGGAGAAGCCACTGTAAACTGACTCTGTCCAACGCAGGAATGCCGTGGTCTGAGACTGGCCTCCCAGGCAGGAGGGAAACCCAACAAACACTGGCTTTGTTTCTGCTACAAAGTTTCCCCTCCTCAACTCCCCTGCCTAACCGGTTTAACCTTTCCTTTACCCAGTCCTGGGAGCCTCTGGGTCCCTGAAAGATGAAAAGGACTTGGAGACAACGGGAAGCTCCAAATGGGGTGGCCCTCAGGCAGCTCACATCCTTCCTTCAGGCCCTGCAGCTTGGACAGCCCAGCACCAGCCAGGTCAGAAAGCAAGAAAGATGATTGCTCTTGTTCATCATGTTCTGGTGGGAACCTGGGAATGCTCAGACTGGGACCCTGAGCAGGTGTGAGGGGTGTGTCAAGTGGGGAGTGCATTCGACAGACAAGATCTTGTCTAGTACTGAACCCTTCCTTTCCAGAAAGGGAAGCCCTGTTTCCCATGTGTGCTTCCTCCTGGAGTAACAGAGTTAAGTCACAGGAGGAGGGCTCTCCTGCCCACAACAGGATGGACTTGGGCAGGTGACACCAACTGTTTCTTTTTTGGAGTTCACTCTGGGTGGTCTCTTCTAGAAGACAGGGGTGTTCTCTCTCCTTTCCTTGCACCGGTCATTGTTGTATGAACTATTACCGGTGGGAGAGGAGATGATACGGGAGCTCACAGATGATAGGCAGTGGATGTCATGGGTACTTTGAAAAGAGGCCAAACTAGATACTTCATCTCTCGAGAGATCAGCTGCCTTGGAGTCAGGGAGGAATTTGAGCCTCTCTTCAGCAGTGGCTGTGGAGAATGTAAGCACTCCCGAACTCTGTAGACAAGACTTAGCTGAAATAGTTGGCTGCAGCACTGCCCTTGTCACCTTCAGGCAATCAAATAGGATGCTTGCCAGCATTGCTCCTTGACACACACACACCTCTCTCTCTCTCTCTCTCTCTCTCTCTCTCTCTCTCTCTCTCTCTCTCACACACACACACACACACATACACACACACACATACACACACACACACACTCGAGAGTGTGAGCCCTGAATCAGCTCGTATGCCTATCTGTGAGAGGAGAAGAACAGTGAGCAACCACCTCATTGCCCTGAAGATTGGGTGCCCAAATGGAGGCTCCACTCTAAAATGATAGATCCCAACCTGGAAGCCAGCAGGTGCTAGGTCTCTTCTACCTTCTGCAGACCAGCCCTCCAACCCTCCCACAGCATCCCGGCAGCATCCCACCCATCTCCACTCAGCTTGGTACCAGAGGGAGCCAGCTGTTTCCATTTCTGCTTCCTTCACATCTAGGCCTTCAGACCTGAAGAAAGTGGGGAGTAGGAGGCCTTACCATTCAGGGAGGATGGGGGCAGTTCAGTGGAGAGAGGAAGTTACACTCCCTGGAGTGCACATCTGGGGCATGGAGAGTAACACTGACCACACAACGGGGTTCCCAGCCCCTAGATGGCCACTCAGTGTTGACCTCTGAGAATCCCTGTCTTGGAGTTTGCATCCTCATCAAGATTGTTTAATGTGGATTTCCACGGACTCCCCCCAACAAGCATTTCTCCCGTAATCTCAGGAAAGAGCAAATCACTGTCCCTTTCTCATATTTGGTTGGGGCATGTAGGGGAGGATGCATCGTTCCTTCTGGAATCAGCTGCCTTTCCCCTCACCCACAGCAAGGACTTCAGAGCAAAGGATATAGGACCATAAGACAACTAATTTGTTTGCTTTATTCAACAGGTCATGAGGGACAACATAAATTGGCTTATCCAAAGATCACCAGCAGATGGCAGTCTAGCATATTTATTTTTACTTAGTGTTTAATACTTAGAGTCTCAAAACTTGTCTCTCTATAGATAAGACTAGTCTGAACTCACTAGATATTTCAAGTTGGCCTTGTCCTAGAGTGCTGTGTGCCACCACACTGACCCACAACATACTAAGAGACTGCTACAAATCCACACTTCCCGTTTGTTGCCCCAAATGACACTTAGTAACTTGTCCAAGGCACTGTAAATCACTAGTTGTCAGAGACAGCAAATCTCCCAGTGAGCCCTTTCCAGTAGCCATAGGATCCTTAAGAGACACGCTCCCTGTTATCTCAGGAAGTCCAAGCTGTGCCAAGCTGCCCTCTGCCCTGGAGGAAGAGGCAAGGGTTGAGTCCACACCCCCTCAGCTGTTACCAAGGAAAGGGTGGAGGAGCTGGTCAAATATCCTGCTGCCTGGTATCCAAAACAAGCCATGCCATGCGTTGGCATGTTGGCTGAGTTGCTGGTCACCCTGCTGCTGTTAGAGCTAGGGCCCTCCTCACCTGTAGCTGCCTGTAATCTCTCTTCCTGTGCACTAACATCACAAATAAATACAACCTCTCCTCCCACGAGCTACTGTAACCTGCCTCTTAAAGGGACCAAAGCAGAGTTTTAAGCCTAATATGAGAGAGGACAGAGGACCCTGCTGACCTGGGGGAAGATCTTGCTGTTAAGCAGGTCTCCAGCTATGACCCTTGTCCTGGGATGATGTTCCCCTTTCCCCTCCCCAGCTTCCCCCTGTCTCCTGTTACAGGGAAGCTAAAAGTTCCCTAGCTGTCAGGGTCCCACATCCTCTCCCCTCAGGGGGACCCCAGCCTGGTTTCCCACACCTGTTTCCATGGGAGACTGAGCCGGTGGCTACCCTTTGTTCAGGGAACGCTTAGAGCAGGGCGGTGGCACCAAAAGGGTTAAAGGCCTGGCCACAGAACTGTCTGAGGTGTTTGAAGTAGGGTGGGGAGGGGAAGGGCTTAAGTAGTTGAAGAGGCAGCTGGTCAGGATTGGAATGAGTACCCCCTGGCCCCTATGCAAACTTCTGGACCATGAACAACAGTTCCTGTAGAGGGACCAAGAGAGAGGCACCCCCACTGAGGTGCCCGGATAGACCTTTAGAGGGGCTGCCTGAAGCAGGACTTGCGCCCATATTGAAGTCACCAGCTGAGGGCAAGAACAGGTTTCTCACCCTCGGGACCTCTCCCAGCTCTGGTGAGTTTCTTCTTCCCTTTCCTGGGTCCTTGCTTGACTATGTACATCTCTCAGGAAGCAGGGATGTCCAGGAGCTCCTCGGCACCCAGGAAGTAGCAAGAGAACTTGCAGGTTTCTCACCAACATCTTACTTTCACTTCCTATTTCTGATTAGGGGGCAATATGTGTGTTTGTATATATGCTATGTGTATGTGTTTGTGTGCACATATGTGTATATGTGTGCGTGGATGCAAATAGGAAAGTAATCACAATCATGGCCAATGATTAATTAACAGAATGTGTGTATCAAATGTTGATAAATCATATATATATATATATATATATATGCGCTATAGAATCTTGTAGGGTTAACATACTCAATCCTTATATTAAATACAAAGTTTAAAGGGTTTAGATGGCTAACCTATGTGAATTAAGATGCAAGTTGTAGGACTAGGTTTCAAAGTCGAGCTCATTTGACATCCAACTCTGTGGTGTTGTCATTAAGAGCAAAAGCAAAACAAAATCTTGCTATTATTATCCTGTGGTGCTGGGACTGAACCCAGCACCTCTGTAAACTGCGTGAGTGCTCCATCACTGAACTAGGCTAGTACTCCACAACTGAACTATAGCCCACCTGGGGCTATGTTTCTTTTTCTTTTCATCTTTAAAAATTCATTTATTTCTGTTTCACGTGCCCTGTGTTTTGCCTGCATGTATATCTGTGTAAGAGTTTTGAATCACCTGAAATTGGAGTTAGAGACAATTGTGAGCTTCCATGTGGGACTGGGAATTGAACCTTCATTAAGTGCTCTTAACCACTGACTTCTTTTTCCAGCCCCCCACCCCCACTTTTTGAAACAGGGTCTCTCTGTATTTCTGCTGTCCTAGAACTCACTATGTAGACCAGGCTGGCTTCAAATTCACAGAGATTCATCCAGAGTATTGGGACTAAAGGTGTGCACAATCGTGCCCAGCCCCAACGATGTTCCCTACAGTCAGGACACCAAGGATGGCCACAGGATCTGGGAACCTGGAGGCACAACTACCCCAGCACCTCTTGTGTCTGGAAGTATTTCTTTTTATCCCAGGGAGTTAGTTATGAGATATCACAAGCCTTTATAAGATTTTTCTTTTGTAGTTTTGAAAAGGAATTACCAAGGATTACGGTGTCATGACATGAGTTTTTTCCTTAATTTTTAACTGTGGGACTGGGATGGACAACCAAATCACATTTTATTTGAAAACTACCGTAATGAAATCTAATTTTTTTGTAAGCTAATAAAAATTGTAAATTCACATTTATGATTTAATAAAGTAACTTTAAACGGAAAAGGGTGGAGGCGCGGCTGTTGGGGGTGCAGTTTTGTCGTGGAGCTACATGCATAAAGCTTGAGCCCAAGAGCCACAAAACAATCTCAGGACCAGTCGTCCACTCCTAAAGCCAAGCTTCCGGAGTCTGGACCGTCCCTCTGTCCTCTTAGGGCTTACCCACCCTACCAACTACTTTAGCATTTCCCGGGATCTGCCAGGTTAATTTCCTGTGTCACCCTGTCCAAAGTCTCCTTCGATGTCCCTCTGAACCTCAGACCTTCTCTTGCCCCACCCTTTTGGCACAGATACCACAGTGCCTGCTGAGAAACTGGTGGAGAGAGGAGGATTGGCTGCGCTTGACAGGTCTTTGCTTCCTTATCCTATGCCTTGCTGACTGAACTATAGGACCCAGGGCTCCTACAGAGAAGCATACAGTCACAAGGGGGGGTGGGCAGGGTACAGCGGGAAGGAAAGCAGAATCCTTAAGTTCAGTTTGCAAACAAACTAAACAAAGCTGAGGATCACCTCTGGAAACAGCAAAATCCCGGACTGGTGTGCAAGCCTCTGAGTGTCACAGAGGAGAGCGTGTGGTGGTATTGAGAGGCCTGCCCGCTGACTTAGAGGAGGATGTGGTTGGATTAGGGTCTGGGAAGGCTTGACTACCTTCGCAGCTTGGAACTTCTGGAATTTCCTAACAGTAAAGGCAATAACTGCTCTGTGGGCCACAGCTGCAGGGGAATGCCTGTTCAGACTCACCACAGATGTGGTATCCTTCTGGGTTCTTGTCTCTGTGCTTCACCCTTAGTGTATGTTACAGTGTACAGTATTGGTTGCCAGATGAATGGATCTTCTCTGCCCTTTCCCCTCTTTCTTTTCTTTTTTTAATTGTTTTTTAAACTGTGCTGAATGTTGACTGCTTTCAACTGTGACCAGGGTGTTGTGGTACATAGCTGATTATTTTATATATGTAAATACACTGTAGCTGTCTTCAGTGTACCAGAAGACGACATCAGATCCCATTTCAGATGGTTGTGAGCCGCCATGTGGTTGCTGGGAATTGAATTCAGGACCTCTGGAAGAGCAGTCAGTGTTGTTTAGCTTTGAGCCATCTCTCCAGTCTCTTCTTTTGCATTTTGCATTTTGGGAATTGTACTGTTCTCTTCTCCAGCATTGACAGGAAAGTCAGAGAAAGAAAGCAATGCAGAACAGCAGCATTCAGCCAAGGCAAGCTGACTGGGAAGACAGAACGTTCCTACCGTGGTCCCATGTACAGGGGCAGAAAGGAAATACAGTACTGGGGTCTTCCTGACACTCAAAGCAACTCTGTTCTAACCCTGCTCCTTACTGTTGGACTCATGGTTGTCGTAGGGCTTCTGTTGTTGTGGTAAACACCATAGCTATAAGCTACCTGGGGAGAAAGGGTTCACCTTACAGTGTACAGTGAGTGCATCCTGTAGAGAAGACAGGGCAGGAACTGAAGCAAGGCCATGAGAAACCACAGATTGCTCTCTGAAGCTTGTTCATTCTGCTTTTCACCTAGTGGGATGGACCCACTCAAATTAATCATTAATCAAGAGAATGCCCCGCAGGCCAATCAATCTTGTAGACATTTTCTCAATTGAGGTCCCTCTGGCTTGTGTCAAGTTGACAAAAAGTAGCCAGCCAATGGTTTGCCTTTCTCTTTTTTTGTTTTGTTTTTCGAGACAGGGTTTCTCTGTGTAGCCCTGGGTGTCCTGGAACTCACTCTGTAGACCAGGGTGGCCTCGAACTCAGAAATCCGCCTGCCTCTGCCTCCCGAGTGCTGGGATTAAAGGTGTGCGCCACCACCTCCTGGCTGCCTTTCTCTTTTAATTTATGTTTATTTGTTTGTTAAGTATGAGAGAGCGATGTGGGGGGACTATGGCACACTCGTGGAGGTCAGAGGACGGCTTTTGGAGGTCAGTTCTGTCCTGCCATGTGGGTTCCGAGACTAAATTCAGATCCTTTGGCCTGGTGGCAGACAGCCCTTCCCTGCTGAGCTGTCTCACAAACCCTCTTGGTTTACTTTCTATGAGAGAAGAAACGGAGGCTAAATTTTGAACCATTAAAAATTTTTCTGTAGAGCTGGAATTTTTCTCTGACTGACCAGATGTATGTGACCTTGGCTGGCCTCCATTTTTCTATGTAGATAGGTCTGGCCTCAAATTCACAGAGATTTACCTCTGCCTTCCAAGCCCTGAGATTGAAGGTATGCCTCAAACTCCCTGGCCTTCCTCAGTCTTTATTACCTAGATTTTCTAGATTTTCTCCATCATTGTCCCTCCATCCTGGAGATTCAGAATTCCAGAGCCAGACACAGGAAACCTTCCAGGCTTCAGGGGTTGGGGATGTAGCTCAGTGGGTAGAGTACTGGCCTAGCCTATCAAACTCCTGAATTTAGATCTCCAGCAGCACATACACCAGGCATGACACACAGCGACATACCAGCAGTTCCAGCTCTCAGGATGTCTAGACAGGAGGCATGCAAGTTCAAGATCATCTTCAGACCAGTCTGAACCCAGTCAAGGCCACAAAGGGAGACCTTGTCTCAAACAAACAAATTAGTTTCTGAAGAATTTACTGTAATCCTTGCTAGTGGTAGCTATCAGTAGGTCCTCTCCTGGGACTGTCAGCTAGCAGAACCAGGGCCTGCCTGACAATACTTTATTCAGATTTTTAAGTTTTCATTTGTTTTTGTTTTGTTTTTTGTTTTTGTTTTAGGCAGGTTCTCACTTCGTAGTCCTGCCTGTCCTGAAACTCACAGAGTTCCCTGCCTCTGGGTCCTAAGTGCTGGGATTAAAGGCAAATACCACCAGGCCTGCCCACCATTTATTTATTTATTTATTTATTTATTTATTTATTAATTATTTAGTGTGTGTATGGATGTTTTGTCTGCATATCCATATGTGAGCCACTTGCATGCCTTGTGCCTGAGACGTTCAGAAGAGAATGTCATATCCCCTGGAATTAGAGTTGTAAGTGGTTGAGAGCCATCATGTGGGTTCTGGGAACTAAACCTGAGTCCTCTGCAAGAGCCACCAGTGCTCTTAACCACTGCAGCCCCTCTTCAGCCTTTAAAAAATGCTATGACTTACTTGCGTGAGTGTGACCTTGAACTCAAGTCAACAGCCTTGGTGACAAGCATTTTTAGCCACTGGGTGACCTCATCAGCCATTTGTTATTATTTTCATTTTAAATGTTTACTTATTTATTGGGGGCACGTGATAAGGTGCACGTGAATGTCAGAGGATGACTTTCCTAAAGCATGTGGGTCCTGGGGATGGGTTGTCGGCAGTGGGCATCTACCCACTGAGCCAACCTCCCTGGCCCTGATTGCTTGGTTCTGAAGTCGGGTGGGAGGTGAGTGACATCACTTGCTCTCTTCAGGAGCTTGTGTTCTGGTTTCAGAAAGCAATACAGGCTCCACAGTGTGACGGGTCAGCTTTGCAACCCCATCACCTCCAGTCAACTGCATATGTGACTTTGAGCAAGCTACTGACTGACGCTCTGGGATGCTGACAAATCCAGGGGTGAGAGAGAGGAAAATGTCTGGTTGCTGGACACCTCCAAGTTGACTTTTTCTGTGGGCTCTGGGTGATATTTAGGAAGTGGGTATGTTGAGGTTATCAATGTCTCCTCCCCAAAACCATTGCAAAATGCTTGATTGGTATACAGCAGATCTTAAAGCT